AGGCTGCTCAGTGCATGGGCGACTCACGCTGACTTGTGCCTTGTCTTTAGAAGGCTCATGCCGGCCGAGTACTCCCGTTGACGTGACGTTACACAGCGTGACGCTTCGTGACCCTCTGTGACGAGCGGTGACATGGCGCGGCCGGTATTGAGTTGTCTCGTCCGCTGTTTTGCGTGGTGGCCCAGCGAATGAATGCGCTGCCGCTCAGAATTGATAGCGATTGATGTCGAAACTTGTGTTGTTGCGGCACGGGGATGGCTGTACCCCGGTGGCGTATTCAGCATTGATGGCGTTAATCCGTTTTGTCGGTCTGACACTGGCAGGTCGTTATAGCTGATGTCATCACAGACTCTGCAGCGCGGCGGGGCTTTGACGTGGCCTGTATTTTGGTGGGCGGTCCGGCGGGTCCATGCAGCGGTCGTACGTTATGTCCTCTGCAGTGAACATGTAATGAAGGTCGTCTGCACATTCCTGCCGGCCGTAAGCCGTGTTCTTTCGACACCTCAATCAGTGCCCCGAGGCTGCCCGGTCAGAGTGTGCCGATGGAATAAAGCCGTGTTTGGGTTATGAGTAATGCTCGCAATCTTCATCAAGGGTAATAAATAGCAGTAGCGCTGCGTTGGGCGGTTTTCACCGATACGCCATCCGTTGCTGGGGAGCAGTTCGTTCAAATGACATTCCTTTGGCTTTCAAGTTGTTGTGCACCTGTCTTCTTGCTTTAGCGTGAATGACTGGAGGAAACACTTGCCATCGTCCTTTCTGAGACCGGTGTTGTTCATTGGAGACAGACTGTCTCCTACCCACCCTTCCAGCTGTGCCGGTCTCCTGCCACTCCGTCCAATCTGCTATCGTCTCCCTCTGTCTCCCGTCCGTCTGCACCTCCCGCCGGGCCGTCCCCCTCCCCCGGCCTGTTGTCTCACCTGCGATCGCCGTCTGGGCACCCTCATAATCCGGTCATTATACGACCGCGCATTTGTAAGTGTTTTGATTCAGCGAGCGGAGCGGAGACGGACGTGATCGCGACGGTGGAGGTGACAAACAGATGGGGACGGAGGGCGGAGGGCGCCGCTGGGACGCCCTGCCACCCGGCCGGTCCTTCGTCTGCGCCACAGCGAAGGGGACCGGTGAGGTGGATCACAGGGCCAGGACAGCGTGGGTCGTCTCAGCGGGTGGCGTGATACCTGTCTGTTGGACGACCCGGTGACAGCGGCGGCGATACCGCTGAGCTGACCCACCTCTGACCCGCCGGTGACCTGTGTCCTGGTAGTGACCTGGCCTGGCCCACCGTGACCCGCGGTGACCTGTGCCGGCGGCGGCGACCCCCCGCTGTCCTCCGCCGCCACCGGCACGGAAGCGTCACGGCTGTCGGCCGCTCGCCGCGGGGGGCGCCGTGTTTATGATTCGGCGCGCGACGGGGCGTCCACAGGACCTCCTACGTGGCGGCCGGCCGCGACGCGACGCCCACCGTCGCTGCCGTCCGCCCACCGCCGCTCACCGCTCTGTCCCGTCCTCTGACTGTCCTCAGGGCTCTGCTGAGCCGTCCTGTGAGCTGTCCTTTGAGCCGTCCTGTGAGCTGTCCTCTCAGCCGTCCGCTCATGCTTAACCTGCCATCTGAGCCGTCTTATGAGCCGTCCTCTGAACTGAGACTTCCTCTCAACTATCCTCACTCACCTAACCTCCCGCTCTGCCATTCCTCGTTCGTCCGCCGTGCGGATGACGACGGCAGACGGCTGCTGGAACAGCGCAGTCAGCGGTTCAGTAGTCGATATGGCGATACCAGATGCTGCCTATCGTTTGTGATGAAGCGTCCCCGGATACCAGCCGGTGCGGCACGAATCGGTACACAGACACCGAGATGTCACTGTTCACCAGGTGTGTCAGTGTCAGAGACGCTATGCCGTTTCAAGGAAGGAAACAAAATGGAGGTAATGCAACAGCGACTTTTCTTATCGGATTTTAGTCATGCTGCTGTCTGTTCGAAAGCGACCGTGCTTACTGATGAGTGGAATCTGGAGTTGGGCTCGAGCCGATGCCACGTGCTGGCGCTCCTCTGGTGACAGGTGTGGGCCGATAGAGGCAATCAGGAGCACCCGGTGGTCCGCTCGTAATTAAAGTCCGGCCCTCATGGCATTCAGATTCATTTGTTAATGTCAAGTGGAACAGGTTAATAGTAGCCGGCGGCGCCGATTTAATTGAAATTGGCGGTGTGATGCTTTAGGAGCTGATGGGATGTAACTTCCTGTGACAGAATTGAAGCAGGCAATTTCAACCTCGCTTATAATTCAAACCTGTGTTCGTTGCCACGCGAGGTGAGCCTTGCATTTTATCGGAAAAATAAAGCGTAACTTTCACCCTGATTCCATACGTCATGTAACCCACCACACTTCGCCGACCACTCGGATGATTTCTTGTGCACAGCCGAAATCCCACCCCATCTCCAAATCTCTAGCGGCAGCAGCTGCTGGCTGTGCCCCGCGGGCAGCGGCCCAACGAGGGTACCAGCGGCGACCGGCAAGGGTAGGAGCGGCGTGCGACCAGGCGGCACGTCGCTCGTTGAGCTGAATACGACCCATCCGAGTGATGGACGGCCGGCCGGGGGCGACCACGCACGGGCCAGGTGACGGCGGGGACCGGTCCGGCGACCCTCTATCGCCCGGCCGGCACCGGCAGCTGCCCGCGCCCGCGTGGGAAATTCGCGACAAATGCTGCGCAGCCAGCGCGCTACCACTGCCGTCGGATGACGCTGGTCGGAGCTGGGTTCTCTGATGGATGTCGCACCGGTGCTGGGGTGATATGGGAGAGGGGTTCACCTGGTGACCGGTGCTGGTGTGGATTCTGACTGATTTTGGGGGACATCACTGGCCGGTACTGGGGCTGGCCGGAACGGACTTGACGTGGGATTAGGGACTAGTGGGGGGGGGGGGCAGATATTGACGCTGAGAGGAGAGCTCACAGACTCTGGGGCTACCTTTCACAGCTCCCCTTTGCAGCATCCGCCATCAGCTCTCACGCTACCTTGCGCTCTGTCGCCGTGTTGCCGTTCTGTCCATATCCGTCTTCACATCTGACGGCCGACAGAAGGGCCCACGAGGGACGGCCGCTGCTCACGTAACCCGGTCTGGCCTGAGGTGGCTGCGGTAGTTGGAGGGATCGGTTTATTTGTTAGCGGGTGTTTTGCATGTTTCGTGGATGGTTCATTAATCACAATTTCATGTGATCATGCTTTCAATCCGGTCTCCATGTCCCTGTCCCTGTCCTTTCCAGGCATGGACAGGGCGCGCAGTCTGCGCAGTCCTGTTCCATCTCTTTTTGTCTCTCCCCATCCCATCCCGTCCTGTTTCTCCCCGTCCCGTCCCGTCCCATCCCATCCCGTGCTGTTCCGTTCCACGGTGCCGGCGCCGGTCGTCGCCATTCCCGGCGCCCCGCTGCGCCGTTTCCGCCGCTGGCGGGCGGCGTCATCTGCGGCGCGGCGGCGGCGTGGCGTGGCGCGGCGGCCCGGCGCTGGGCCATCAGTCAGTGTCGCGGCCACGCCGGATCCGCCCCGGCCGACACCTTCGGCTCATTGCCGGCACCTCTGGACACCCTGTGATGCCCCGGCTGTCAGCCTCCTCCGCGGAAATGTAATAGACCCGGTCTGGCGCAGCGTGCAGCGATGGCACCTCGCCGAACGTCGCACAGCGCTCGGCGCAACGCAGCGGTCATGGAATTTTGAAACGGTGAATTTTAAGGTTACCAATTTTCGGCACCTATTTGCGAAACAGTATTTTGGTGGCGTCTCACACGCAGATGCTCCTATGCTCCATTCCCCACTCGCGCACGTTGCGAGAAGTGTCGGCGACTCGCTAGGTCTAGGGGAGCGGTGGACGACCCAGCGGTGGGCTTATCCCAGAGTCACGGCTGGCGCGGGTCACGGACGGCCGTGTGCTGGCCCGGACAGGGGAGGGCGAGGGGAGGGGTGGCAGCGGCCGCGCCCGTGAGACGCCGATTAGGGCTGCGACCGGCAGCGGTGGCCGGCGTGCGACGCCGCTGCGGCCGCGTAATGCTGCCGGATCGCCGGCGTCGTTTAGTTGATGGTCCAAATCGTCGGGTAATGAGAAGTGACTGAGTAATGTTCTCCATCACATGTGCTGAATGGCGGCCCAATCCTGGCGGCTGGACACGGCCTGTTAGCTAATCATTCGGCGATATCCCGGCGCCATTTGTATAATGGCCGGCGAAATATGGCGCTCCGGCGGCGACGGTGGCGCGTCGGCGGCGTCACGGGCCGTCACACCGACAACCGCGGCTCCTCCGTCACCGTCACACACCGGCCCCGTCCCCGTCCCCACGGGTCCACCTCCTCGGCGGCGACGCGGCCGCTGTGAGAAGGGTACTTTTTGCCCGATTGGATGCGCAATTAGAGCGGAGTCCAAACAATGATAGCGGAAGATGAGGACGCGTTGGTCGTTGTAACTGCGGCTCGTTAGGAGTAATTCGCCACTGCTGCCGTTCTGGTTCGCTTTGTGAGTGATACCACTGGCTACTGTTTGTCGGTCCGGCGGACTAGGTTAGTTCTACAAATGACTCTTTCTTTAATTGGCTCGCCTGCTGTTTTGTCGGGTTGTATGTAAGGGGCTACGTGAATCAGGGACAAATTATTTTCATCCGGCGAACGTCATGCGTCGCTGGACGAGTAAAACAGTGGCCTTGCCACACCCTTCTCACTTTATCGCCCTCATCTCTCTCTCTCTCCTCTCTCTCTCTCTCTCTCCTCTCTCCTCTCTCTCTCTCTCTCTCTCTCGCTCTCTCTCTCCTCCTCTCTCTCTCTCTCTCTCTCTCCTCTCTCTTCTCTCCGGTCTCTCTCTCCTCTCTCCTCTCTCTCTCTCTCTCTCTCTCGGAAGTTTACGTCGTCTAGAAAACGTAGCGGCACGAGCCTTATGCTTCACCTCACACCACCTAGCCTACCCTGCAGTCCTCGAAGACCTCTCTGACCTGACCCTGTCTCGCCCGTCGACTCTCACCGATAGAAGGCAGCAGTCAGCAGCAGAGGAAGGCTGGAGATGAGCATCAGAATCCTCCAGTCCCAGACTGCATACGCGATCCATGGCAGCAGGGCGCCTCCCAGGCTCCAGGAGCCGATCAGAGCCAGCAGAGGGTAGATCCGCGCCGAGGCCCCGCAGTACTCAATCACTGTCGGGCAACGTAACAGGGACCGTCGATAACGAAACACCAGCAGACGGCGCTCGACCAATTTATTCATGATCGTTTGCGTATTGAGTAATAAACAGAGTAATGATGATGATGATGATGATGATGATGATGATGATGATGATGATGATGATGATGATGATGACCTCTGCAGAAGCCTTCGGCAGAAGCCTGATTTGTGGCTTTTGTTAGGTACTTTTATATGAACCTTACTGTAATGGAAAACAGGACGTGGCATGAGGACCCAATCGCCAGGGGATTCGTAATTTTTAGCCCTCCTTGCTGATCGCGCTATGAAAAAGACCCTAGCCTGGCGATGGGTAATGGGTATGCATCGATTTGTAATAAATTGTCAAAGTTGGACAATTTTAACGGACAAAAATTGACCTCCATGATCTTCCATTTAGCGTGTAGCCTTGACTGCGCGTTTCATTGGGACCGCACTGGTCCCTGTCCAATCGGCGAAGACACTGGGTGTGCAGCTCGGCTCGATCCAGGTCTGACATAGGAACAATATATCTGTATCTATCATTACGTGGCCGTATCGATCGGGCTCGCTAGAATGAAGTGTCGCATACCTCGTCACATAAAAAACTGTTGATTGAGGCACTTGTTTTCCCCCAAATATATTGCTGCATGCGTGTTTGGGCAGCTGTACCAAAACCAACAAAACCCAGAAGCGCAGGCTGCAGAAGTAGAGTGAATCAACTTTGCGGTTCGAATTATGACTGGCCTACGGAGTCCCTTCCGGCCGCCTGCGTTCTGAAAAAAGGTCCTGGCCGGGCGAATGCTGATCCATATGTAGTGGCACTTGCGGCTGAACGCAATTGCGGATCGGAAGTCATAGGTACTCATCTTCGCTGTTCAGTGTGTCAGCCGTCTCCGTCAGTTTCGGTTCTGTTGTGCAGCTAACAACGAAGACAACTAGCGCAACAACATTGCTGGACTATGCACGATTCTCAACAGTCCAAAGATTTCCTGAATGACTGGAACAGAAACCAGGAGCGATCGCCACTTCTCGAGTTATCATCCCAGCAGAGTGTAAAAGCATACTCCACGGTCAACCTTACTTCGGAGTCCGAAAAGCCCTTGCTGAACGTTGAGGAGGTCCACTGCGCTGCCGACAGACCCCCATCGGACATTGAGGAGGAATCTCCAGACAGCGCATCAACACCGCTCACCTGGCGTCAGGTGGGACTGCTGGCGTGTCTCTCCGCCAGCAGTCTACTCGCCGGCAGCTGCGCGTACATTCAGGTACCGTTCTTCACGCACGAAGCGCATCGGCGCGGCTTGAGCAATGCCTCATCGAGCTCAGTCTACAGCTGTTTTTCGCTCTCGCTCACGGTAGGATTTTGGGCCATGGGCTGGCTGGCGTCGCGGTCCGATGTGACGCGGCTCTACCGACTCGGTCTGCTGTTGGCCAGCGTCACTTTGGCCTGCTTGTCTACGTGGAGCGGCCGGAAGCGTTTCTGGGGTGGAGTCTGACGATGCGCGCCACCGAAGCCGTCGGCACGGCTGCTGTGCTGAAGTCGGGACGGACCATCATCATCAACCAGTTCCCGCAGCGGATGAACTCAGCCGTCAGCCTGGTGGAGGGCATGTTCGGAGGAGGTCTGTGCCTAGGACCGGCGCTCGGCGGTGTCCTGTACTCGGCTGGGGGCTACGGGGTGCCGTTCTACGTGCTCGGCGCTTTGCTGGTGGGCAACGCCGCCGCCAGCCTTCTCCTGATGCCGACGGTGACAGATCTCTCGATCGATAAAGAGAAAGAGGAGGGCGAAACGTCTCATCATCGCGACAGACTCCGTTTGGTGCTTTCCAGCGCGGACGCCTGGCTCATTTTCACGGCCCTCTTTCTCAATGCAGTGAACTGGAGTGGGGTTGATTTGAACATTGAGCCTTACACTCTGCACACGCTCGACATGCAGCCTGACGAGCTGAGTCTCTTCTTCCTGGGCTCGTTTGGCGCCTATACGCTCTCCAGCCCGCTGTGGGGTCGACTCTCGGACTGCATCGACAACACGTTCCTGCTTGAAGCCTGCTGTTTGGCGCCGACCGCGCTGGGTATTCTGCTCATCCCTCCGTCGCCGCTGCTCGGTCTCCGGCCGTCCCGCCTGCTGCTCGGTCTGGGGATGACGCTGCGCGAGGTGTTTCAGGTGGGCGCCTACGTCCCGCTCCTGCCGCTGGCGGTGCGACTCTCCACTGCGCGCGGTCTGCAGAGCGACGTGCGCGCCCAGGCGCTGGTGACGTCTCTCTGCGGAGTCGCCTACGCGCTGGGTAATGTGCTCGGTCCAGTGGGCGGCGGCCTGGTGACGGACCGCTGGGGCTTCCCGGTGCTGGCTTCCGGGCTGGGAGGCGTCACTGTGCTCCTCTGCCTGGCCATGGCCGTACGTGGAGTGGTCTATCACGTGACGCGACGGACGGCGCCGGCTGCCGCTTCCTGAAGATCTCAGGTCAAATATCACAAATCGCTACCTGTAGTGCCGCTGGCAGCTGATGAGTGGGGGAGACTAAGTGCTTACTTCGAAATCTAAGCGGCGTTGCGGCATTGGCGGTTATGTGCGGCGTGTATGCCGCATGATTAGTAAGCGGCGACCACTAAATTAAAGACTCAAACGCTCCGACCGGTTTTCAATGAATAACACTGCATGCCAAAAATGTCGATCGCTCTCGTTATAAGATATTTACATGTAGATTTATGTAGATTTATGTAGATATTATGATGTAGATTTAAGTAACTAAGTTATCTACATCATCATTTTGGACCAAATTAATACTTTCAATTTAACTCACTCATTCCTTCCTTTGTTGGCTCCAAAGTCCAAACAGTCTCTCGATTGTCTGGAAATCGTATGCTAAGTCCCGTACTTGTAGGTATGCGACTGGTGCATATAAAGGCCGATGTAAGACTAAGAATAGAATTGGAATAGGCTCTCGCATGCGATTTCCTGGCTACCCAAAAAAGTCTGTTTCAGTCATGCTATCAAAACATGGTATGTCAGCCCGGTCACCGGCTTATGGTGCTCTGCTTGTAGTGCCCCTGACCGTCACCGACTCTCTTCCCTCCTGAACACTCGCCCGTATTGGTGTTTTTCCAGCCGCGAACGTATAAGGGGGGGGGGGGTCCGTTGGACCCCTCCTTGCCGTTTGGCCCATGATCGAGCTAGAGCAGTAGAGCTTCGCAGAAAAAAACGAGCGTGTTGCCCGTGACGAAAGGAAGCCGATGATACCCAATTTTAACCCTCGCCGGCACAGGCCATTTTGCGTCCTTCGACGGCACAAGGGGGGGGGGGGGGTACGACCCCCGTCGCGTTTGGCCCCTGATCGAGCTAGAGCTTCGCGGAAAAAAACGAGCGTGCTGCCCGTCATGAGAGGAAGCCGATGATATCCAATTTTAAGGTCTTTGGTCATCGGGTGACCTTCCAGGTCAGGTCAATGACCCGAAAATCGGGAAAATCGGGACCTGTTAGAAAGTCGCAAAGTGTGGCTGCCATGGGGGTTTCCCGGGGTGCTGATCACGAATATCGTGTTAGTTTTGATCAGAGATGATGTCTTTAAGCATTTAGACCAGGTCGGGTCAGGGCGACCTGGTCGACGCCGAATCGCGATTCCGGCCAAACATGGTCACGGAAAGTAGGTCACAGGTCAAAGGTCATTTGGGTCAGGATCATGAAATTTTTAGAGTGGGTGAGAAATTGATCAATGCGAGGGTACTGAAAGTTTCGTCACGATCGGCCGCTTTTTACGCGAGTTATTCGCGAAAAACCTTAGGGGGATGCATCAACGGGATGTCCCCTGTGCCAGCGATGGTTAAGTTTTTTTTTTCTAAGATAGTCCGTTACCCATGATCAGGTAACCAGGAGTGCCCCCTCCCACAGTCCCGGCGACGCACAGAGACCTTACTTTAACACCAGGTAACATAATAAATTGATCAAGTCGCGGCACTCCCTGCTAAGAAGTGGAAAATATAAATAAAATATAACGCATGCAATACTACTAAAAAATGTTAGTAAGTACGCCAAAAAGGAGGAAAGTAGTCATTGCCGAGTGAAGCAAAATGACTGCCCACTATACCAACACCAGCAACTATCATTTATACCAGTGTTAGTAATTAACGCAATACGCATTCATACTCAGGTGGGGAAAAGCATGCCTGGTCATGTTCTTGCAAGGTCATTTTTATTGCCGAAACCCTTGGCTCCGTCCGGCTAAGCTAGGCTTGTTGCCGGACAGAACCTCAGGAAACAGCACGGACTAGAGTATTCTGAGAATTGGTACAATAAGTTGTATAAATGTAAGTTGAAGATATTAATTTGGTTTAAAATGATGATGTAGATAACCTAGTTATTTAAATCTAGATATCTTATGATGAGAGCGATTGACATTTTTGGTATGCAGTGTTATTCATTGAAAACCAGTCGGAGCGTTTCTGTCTTTAATTTAGTGGTCGCCGCTTGCTAATCATGCTGCATACACGCCGCACACAACCGCCAATGACGCAGCTTAGATTTCGAAGTAAGCATTTAGTCTCACCCCTGATGAGTCAGCGATACACTGCATCCAGCAAGACCTACCACCAATCACCATATAACTGCAATGCATCAAACGTTCGACTTCAGAAACACCAAATCGGTGAATCGGATGTGGTAAAATTCGTGCCGTGAATAATGGTGCATTTCGCAACAAGCAATGTTAAACTTGGCTTCACAAGCCACTACTGACCTCTGAAAAAATCTATTACATGAAAAATTGTACATTAAATGCTATTGACTAGTTACTGACTTGACAATTCGACATTCGTTGATGTTAACCCTATTAGTGGCAGGCTCCTGGCTACCCCTATTAGTGGCAGGGGGGGGGCTGTTTACGACCCCCCCCCCCCCCCTTGATATCTCGAGATCTAACGGGCCGATTTTCAAAATTCAAACGGCATTCGATTTCGCTCAACGTGATCTACATTTATAAAAAATAAAAATTAAAAAATGTCAATAGGGGGTGGGGGGGGGGGGGTAAAAACGGACAAATTGCAGATACATTTTAGACTGTTTATCACGGCCAGGTTTCTGAACCAATCTTAACACGCGCAGTGGAAGGGGGGGGGGGCGGATTTCGCCACCCCTCCTGTTTTTCGCCAATAACTCGCGCCGCAAACATAATATCAATGTGAAATTTCGGCTACCTGTCCAGAATTGAATTGCAGATCTTCTCGTGCAAGAAATAAGAAAATCGGTTCACAACTTTTCTAGTAATAACGGTGTAATGTCAAACATCCTGCCGCCGCGGCGGCGCGGCGGCCGGCGCTAGCCGTTACGCGCCGCCTGAATTGTAGACTGTGCCGGGGCGGGACGGTTCCGTCTTTACATCGCGCTCCTTACCGCTGATTATATTAGATTCGCGTCAAATTCGGTGGGAAGACTGAGAAATGTACGGGCAATCATATGGTAAAAGAATTTTGAAAATCGGCCGGTAACAACTTGAGTTATGAGTGTGTAAACACAAAATTGTGATTGCCGCGTTTCCCGCGTCAGCCGATCCCGCTTCAGCCGGCGACATCTTACCCTTAGCAGGCTTCTAACTGCCATATTTATCGCTAGATTATCTAGAAATTCACAATACATACTCACAAATGTTTGTTCTTTCGTATAGTGAAAGAAAAAAGAAAATCGGCCGGTAACTTTTTGAGATATCGGCGTGTAAACGCAAAAAAGTCGCTCATATGGCAGATTTGACCACATTTGACCTCATTTGACCTTGAAGATATTGACCTAGGGTCATGAAATTCACACACAACAGAGTTCCTCATGGCCCCCACCTACCCTCCAAATTTCGTCTTTCTGGCTCCAGTGGGAGCTGAGATCTTAGGGGGGGGGGGCGACATCCGCCCCCCCCCCTTCCACTGGGCGTAGTACTCGCAACCCTTCCACTGCGCGTGTTAACGCAGCTTATGCCGATCGATAGAGAATGAACCAGGAATTCACATGGATCCTAAAAATATGCATTTTCAAAAATCATAGGCGGATACAGATCATTGAGATTGGGGGTACACAAAAAGTATAGTAAATAAGGTTTTTGTTGGTACTGTTTCTAAAAAGGGTGGTAATGGTCTTGTTATCTTACAATTTTCTTATGAGAGAACGACTACAATTGTATTGGTCATGCATAGGCGGTGTCAGGGCACCTATGTTGGGAGGTAAAACATAACCCCCCTTTTTGGACGCCTGGATCCGCCTATTATAGCAAAAACGTGTCAAAAGGGGATGCACAATAACTTTGTATATGTTATCACATGATACCTTTCATTCACTGTTCGTAAAACTGGTGCATACAGTTATAATACATCAGCATCGTGATCTTCGCCCAAATGACTCGCTTCACGAATAGGACCCCCCAATACCCAGTGCTCTGGAGCCGCCCCTGGTAAAGTTATGAACTTGAAACTTTCAGGGAATGTGCCCAATTTAGTTTTAGGAAAAGTCAGAAAATTTCAGCATCGTAGCTTCAGCGGTTTCGGAGATATTCCCGAAAAACCTGAGGGGTGGATGAAAACAACCCCTCCCCTGCCACTAATAGGGTTAATGCTGGTTGACCAGAATGAGAAGAGAAACCGTTGGAGGGTATTTGACATACGTATGTATGCATGTACCGCTAGATGAGCCTATTTCGTGAGTGCGGCATCCAGCCATTTGATACAACATGCAGCGATCTAGTAAAATCCTTATAAAACAAAAATTGTTTGACAATTTATGTAATATCCTTAGCAAGTAGTGAAAAGCGAAATACCCCAGCAACTGCCGGGTTAATTAATTATGTGAGACCACCATGTTTCTTCAATATTCTTGAAACGCTGACTCTGGTTGACAAAACCCATGGTAAAAACAGTGACGCAGCCTCAGACTATTGTGGCGTGTTTGATTATTTACTTTGTCACTAGGTATAAAAAGCACACCCCGCAGGTGGAAGCGCAGGTGGCGCAAGTGCATTCGCAGAACAATTGCTCTGTGTATTGTGGAGACACTTTTATCCGCGCCCCGCTGGGGTATTCAGCCGATCGTACCCTGCTGGGAAAGGGCAAGCAGCTTCTTCCTTTGTCTGACTTCCGAACGAATGATTGTTCCATGATGTAGAAGGACGGGAAAGTGGCAATTGAAGGCTCTCAATAAGACAGGTCTTCGGAGCACAAAACTTGCTGCCTAAGTGGGCCGTAGGTCGCCTCAAGGTCAATTGAAGGGTGAAACAAAAAGATGGTGAGCAGCATGTAGATGGTGTGAGATGGTGTGAGATGGTGCGGTGACCGGGCAACTTACCAAATATGTAGGAAGGGTGGCCGACTTACCGAGCATGTAGAGCAGGTGAGAGATGGTATGGTGAGCCACTTACCGAGCATGTAGGGTAGGTGGGCGACTTACCAAGCATGTAGGGCAGGTGGGCGACTTACCAAGCATGTAGGGCAGATGTGAGATGGTATGATGGGCGACTTACCGAGCATGTAGTACAGGTGTGCGACTTACCGCTCATGTAGAGCAGATGTGAGATGGTATGGTGGGCGACTTACCGATCATGTAGGGTAGGTGAGCGACTTACCAAGCATGTAGGGCAGGTGGGCGACTTACCGATCATGTAGGGCAGATGTGAGATGGTATGATGGGCGACTTACCGAGCATGTAGTACAGGTGTGCGACTTACCGCTCATGTAGAGCAGATGTGAGATGGTATGGTGGGCGACTTACCGATCATGTAGGGTAGGTGAGCGACTTACCAAGCATGTAGGGCAGGTGGGCGACTTACCGATCATGTCGGGCAGATGTGAGATGGCATGGTGGGCGACTTACCGAGCATGTAGGGCAGGTGGGCAACTTACCGAGCATGTAGGGCAGGTGTGAGATGGTATGGTGGGCGACTTACCGAGCATGTAGGGCAGGTGGGAGATGGTATGGTGGGCGACTTACCGAGCATGTAGGGCAGGTGGGAGATGGTATGGTGGGCGGTCCCCACCAGGAACCGTATGGTAGCCAGCGCGGCCATGCTGGAGGGCTGAAGCAGGGTCATCGCTCCGAACACGCTGTAGAGGACGAATGAGGCCAGCGTGGCCGGTCGGCGGCCCAGTCTGCGGAGCGGGAGGGGGTGCCAAGGTGACAGGAGCTGATAGACGGTGACGACTTCTGCGTTTTGAGTTGAGTTTGAGGCCATCACTATGCGCTGCTTATGAATTCACCTCATAGGCTGGTATACTAAAGATGCATTTTCAGGCACATAACAGTCACTTTACAAGAAGATCGAAATTACATCTCACGCATGCTCAAATGACGTCTCTGCCCCAATGCTTCGAACACTTTTTCTGACCTTAGATCGGCTATGTGGGTTTTATTTACTCCCTCATGGCACGTATCTAAAGAAGAACATTCTCGCGTGGTAAAAATACAACATGGCTCTGCTGCTCTCCGCATGCTCAACGCAATAATATCTATTTCCCGCCGAATCCTAAACTGAAGAGCACTGGATTTCACAGTGCTGGTCCTCACTTGTCACTGATAGTGCCCCAGACCCAGGAGCCGAAGATGTTTCCCACCCAGAAGACGGCGTGGATGACGAACGGCCTCCAGGCGTCTTCACACACCCAGTTGTTCTGTGGAAGGGCGGAGACAAACAGTGAGAGCGGTCAGTGGCCAGGTCGGATGTTTATATTTTTTCGGAAAGACGGAAGCTGTCTATTTATCTGACGTCCATTCGGACGTCGCGGACGGCGGACCTCAGTGATCTACTTTTTAACCCGGCAGGCGGTGGGCCTCCCGGCCACCTTCCACGCGGTGGGGGGGGGGGGGGGCATTTCCCACCTCCCCCGTATCTCCGAAACTACTGGACGGATCCGGAAAATGCAAACGGCGTTCGATAGCCCTGTCAAATTTGTCCAAGGAAACCAAATTTCATTGATCTCGGGGTCACCGATGACGTCACAGGTCAGGTCAAAGATAAAATGTTTCACCGTTCACGGGTCATCTACGGAAAGCGCTATAACGCCGAGTAAAACGCAGTTTATCGAAAATCAGCGATAGGGCGTCAGTTGTCTAGTACACATGTTGCTCTTAGAGGTCACTGGTCATACCAGGTCAGGTCACAGGTCAGGTCACCAAAGGTCACCAAGGTCACCACATGAACCCAACTTTACTAAGGTTGTGCGACGCATGTTTTATGGCCAGTTTTTCATTTCCAACTCAATGATGTTGGTTATAAGACCATCAGGTACGGTTTAGGACACTTTCTGGTGGAGGTCAGGTCAAGGTCAGGTAAAAAAGGTCAAATTCCAAAGTTGTTAGTTTTGCATAAAATGGGTATTGATTCGATGCAGCTCGTCACGGGGAGTCTAATGGTGATTTTTGTTTTGCTCTACGAGGTCTAGAATTGCTAAAAATTGAGTTTGAAAATTTGACGTACCAAATCAATTTTGAACAGTTTTTTTTCGCTATAACTTTGTCAAAAAAGAGGTATTGATCTCAAATTTGGTATGTAGATAGAAGGCGGTAGGGACTATCACATTAATTCCAGTTTTTCGAAATTCAAAAAACTTTTTGGATTTTTTCGTCTACTATATTCAAAAAAACTATTTTTTTATTTTTGGGGTCAAAATCCAAAAATTCAAAAATCCGAGACAGCAGTTTTGTAGCCTTCCTAATTCTACACCTCTTACGTTGAAACATTTTTCTGTATCTCAAAAGCTGTAGGCCTGACAGCTCTTCCCGCGAAACCTTTTTTTTTTTGGGTCGAAATGGCAAAAATGACGTCACTCTAACGTCATTAGCAGCCAACCTATCATAGCCTTTGGAAATTTTTGGTAACAATGTGCAATAGCTATTCACGGGAGGGTACTGAAAGTTTGGTGACGATCGGCGCAGCGGTTCTGGAGATATATAAAAAAAACTAAAGGGGGCAAAGACAATGCCCCCCCCCCCCCCACCGCCTGGAAGGTTAAATAGAAATATTTATTACGATGGATGAGGTTTCCGTTTTAGCATTTCTGCCAGCTGTCAGTAATTTGCGTTTGTGTCGGGACGTAAGTTTTTAGCCCCTCCAGCCGATGAATGGGAAGTCGGCGGTAGCACGCCTCTGTCACGTCTAATCGTCTTCAGCGGATATTTCCTTCATAAAACAAAAAATCAATAAGGTTACTTTGTCGACACACACCAGAACGCCAAAAAAGTCATCCTAGAATGTCCACTACACCAGTCTGTCCTTCATCAACAAATACCACCACGCACAATTCTCAGAAACACAGCGCATGTTTTGTCATCACACCAGCCGCCCATTGATGACATTCCAGAACCTTCCTGCGACACTCTTGCGCTGATAGCCAGCGGCGTGTTTACGTCTGAGGTTTAGAACTGGACCGGCGGCCGTCATTAGCGAAGGAGTGGTACGTCACAGCGGAGGGTGGCTGGTCGGCGGGTCGGCCTTCAGTACCTTGCAACAACAAACAGTCGCCGTTTCGACACTGGCCGCCGGCGCCCAAGGAGTGGGCCAGGCGCCGTCCGGCGGCGGGCCCTATTTAAATACACTGCGGGCAGGCCGAGCCCTGTGGGTACGTGGTGGACTAGGTCAGATGATCTATGGAGGGTTTCAGTCGTACCGCGGTGTTTAAACCGCTACCGCTTTAACTTCTTGTATTGTAACCCCTTTTATCTAAAGTCCTGTGAAATACTCAGACACATACTTCTATATGTACTCGTAGGTATATATAGAGAAGTCTGTGACTTAGAAAATCAGGTAATATATTGGAGGGAATGAAACTGTAATTTCTTAAAAAAAGCCACTTCTCCAGCGTTAACAAGCGCCCGGCTGGGGGTCCTGGATTTCCACGCCCTGCTGGGGGGGGGGGGGGGTCTGAACACCCCCCCCCCCTGCTAACTCGGCTCTTGGGCCACGTAGCGATACGCGGAAGGCGGCGTTCGAAAGAGCGCCAAAAATAATGACGAAATCACTTCGGTCAATTTTTTGGTCAGGTCAAAGGTCAGGTCACCAGAGGTCATTGAAGGCAAAATTTTGCCGATTTCCAGGTCGAATGTCGACAATTTCCAAGAAGCCAACGCATACCTCGGGAACCAATAGAGCTACAGCGCCGCGGAAAAGCGCATTCGATAGCCCTATTGACGCCCTTTCTGAATAATTCTCTCAGATTTGACCTAACGTCAACGATTTTGCCTGCAGGGGGCAAAAACTGCAATAATAGCCGATTTTTTCGGAAACAGTTTTTCTGCAATAACTTTTGACCCAAGCCTTGTACGAGCTTACGTTTACCGGCATCGTGTTCCTCTCGTCAAGACGCATCGAATGAACAATAACTTGACCTTGAAAGGTCAACTTGAAAATTTGACCTCAGGTCAAGGTCATGACCTGACCGGAAAGGGTCATGTTGCATATCAGTCGATCCGTATCGTCGAGCTGAACACATCTAAGGCGTTTTCATCGCTCTAGCATGCCTCTATCAAAAGTTATTTGCGAAAAACTGTTAGATACCATTCGTGACCTAAGATGACCTCAGGGGCATAAACAGGAGTCACAGACACCATTTTCATGTTCAGTGTGTCCAAACCACTTGTAGTTCAGTGTTTGGGAGTGTTTATAATGTCATTTATCCAAAAGAGGCGCATTTCAATTTTCTCCCATTGACTTATAATGGGGAGGTCGCAAAATTGACCTGACCTTAGGTCATCGATATCAAAATTCTGAGATATACATTTTGTACATGCTATTGCTCTTAGCAATCGCTAAAAGTTTCAAAGCGATCGGTCACTCGGTGTAGCTATGGCAGACATTGAAACTTTTTATGAGGTGAGATCACTTCAAGTGACCTGGTGACCTGACCTTGAATGACCTTGGTTTGAAATTTTCAAAACATGTGTAGAATTAATGTATGATAACGTGTACCAAAAACGGCGGCGCTCTGCGCCGCCGTTTTTGAAATATTCGCGAAAACCACAAGGGGGGTGTTCAAACACCCCCCAGCAGGGCGCGGGTTAAAAAATGATTTTGTTTTCATTTTAAGGTCGAACAAAATGATAACATCCACAGTAACACTTGAAAATGTAAAATATGTTGTGAATTTTCCCAAAAATTTTACGGAAATGGCTAATTCGAATTTAATATTATTGGTAAATGGTTTCGCTACAAGCTCATGTACGGAGCAATACTATAAATATTTAGCCGGACTTAAGCCTTTATACCAAATGGTTACCCGCGCCGGACAGTGTTGCAGAAATAGAAAGCCAGTTGATATCGACGAATAGGTATGCACTTTGTTATCTTGTGCTATATACCTACAGTTGCAGCCATTCTTGTTTTCACATGCCGAACCATAGTGCTGACTCCGTACTTTTCCATGTTACTGTTGAATATTTATCTAATCAACATGCAGCGTCAACAAGTAAATTTAGACAGGTAAACTTAGTCAAATTGTTTGCACCATCCTACCTCAGTTGTTCCCTTTGACCGTCGTTCAATCTAATTAGCTGACCGTGATACCTCGCATTTAGATTGATGTGTTGTCACTTGTCAGCGTATTGCTTACAGTGGCGTTTTGAATCGGATAAGGTCCAACAGACGCCATCATCAACAACCTCTCAGTCTAGACTTTGAAATGCTACATAAACAATTTTCTAACGGGGCCAAATTCGCTATCATAAATAAGCTAACGGCATCCATGGAGCATACCATCCAGTCGGTTCGGGAGCCACGGATCATATTATCTAATGATCAAGCACTATGTATGTAAGTTTGTGCTGGATGTTTGCCTGTTTGAGTGTCCAACGTTTGGTGAGACTTTAGAAGCTGGCGCGCAGAGATGAGTGAGATAAGGGAGATGGGTGGGCCTGCAAAAGTGTATAAGTCACGAATCTCACTTCACACGTGCGCACGTGCAGAGGCGACCCATTTTCATTTCGGCTGAATGACCGATTGCGCTCCGATTTAGCCAGACGTTAGTGACCGGCTTGATAAGTGACTGGCACCTCTCAGGACGTGCATGTGCAGGGCTCGATATCAAGCTCGTTTGTTTATTTGTTACTTACGCTCAAAATGCGACTTTCTGCTCATGCCGAAAAAAGTGACATTTTCTGCGACATGCTGGCCTTCATAGACATCTTATGGAAGTCGACATGTCGACATAGGTGCCTTCATCCTTTCTGTGGGCATTTTCGCTATCACCCGTTCCTTAACCCGCGCCCGGCTGGGGGTCCTGGATTTCCACGCCCTGCTGGGGGGGGGGGTGTTTGAACACCCCCCTTCTAACTCGGCTCCTGGGCCACGTAGCGATACGTGGAAGGCGGCGTTCGAAAGAGCGTCAAAAATAATGAGGAAATCACTTGGGTCAATTTTTTGGTCAGGTCAAAGGTCAGGTCACCAGAGGTCATTGAAGGCAAAATTTCGCCGATTTCCAGGTCGAATGTCGACAATTTCCAAGAAGCCAACGCATAACTCGGGAACCAATAGAGCTACAGCGCCGCAGAAAAGCGCATTCGATAGCCCTATTAACCTTCCAGGCGGTGGGGGGGGGGGCATTTTTTTGCCCCCCCCTTTAGTTTTTTCGATATATCTCGAGAACCGCTGCGCCGATCGTCACCAAACTTTCAGTACCCT